ATTAATCATGGCAGCCCTAGACCCAAGTAGAGTTCTCCAGAAAAAGTGGTGCCGTACAGTAATGCCCCTTTTGTTCTTGTCCAGTCAGGTGTGTCCCTTCAAAAAAGTCCATCAAATCAGGTGTGTCACTTCAGAATCGCCTTTCATTGTGACACGCCCACTTGTCCTCTCTCGTCTGCAGAGACCCCTACTTGAGCAGAGTGGGTCAGTAGGAGCAGGAGTCCTCCTGAGTGAGTACTGTAAACCTCTCCTCTCTCACTTCACTCCTGCAACTTTGATCTCTAAAACCAACTTTATATTAARTATTTGTGCTAAAASCKCCATKATCCTACAGATATGTCCAACTTTGCATGTGTGACCAAGCTCCTCATRCAAAGGCTGCACGTGACATGCAACRTTCAAACAGTTGGTTAGTTGCTCTCCTATTCTACAACATTTCACAAGTTATAAAGYATTCTCCCACATGGAGAATACTACAATAACCTAAGCGCCAAGTWYAAACACCTCCATCGCTGGCAAGRAAACACACACTCCGCGCATGAGTAGTTACTCAAAGYGCGAACCGAGCCCGAACTAAGCTGAGACCGCTCCCACAGCATGCACTGCAGCGTGCGCATGCTGTGAATCAGATTTGWTCATTGATGACCATTAATGTTTACACCTCGTCCTCCTGGAGAACATCACCATGTTCTCTAGGACAGTGGTTCCCAAAGTTGGGGTTGGGACCCAAAATGGGGTCCTGAAACATCAAGGTGGGGTCCTGAAAAGATTTTCTAAATTAATTACATTTTTTGCCTTAGTTGNAATAAATTTATTTTAAAAAATAGTTGGGAGATATGTATCGCAGACGATATTATCATCCATGTTGCTTTGAAGATATGCATTTTTGCATAATCGAGTATTCATACTGTCTTGAAAAGACAACAAATACAGTGGTGAAGACAGAGGCATAAGTCCCCATACAWGGAATATTTGCCACAGAAACCAATCAGCGGSCAGGATTCAGTCACGTGACTGGGGTCGATGGCAACTGAACTAAACAGTGGGCCGAATTCAGTCTTGGACTCACAGCAGCCAAWACAACGGGGCTTAAAGTTCTTTGTCGCCACAACGGATTTTCGTAACTTTGAATGTGGCCAGGATGGATTTCCATCATCTGTAAKGGGGGGCGGCTCTGTTGTGGTCTTGTTAAAGCCKCCCAGTCTGCTCCAAATGGGATGCTACTTTCAACAAACCGAACAAACCCCWGAGCACTTTTATCCAATGAGAGCAGAGCAGAGTGAGAAGGGGTTATCTGCRKAATCAAAGTGGGCGTGTCACAAGAGTGGGCATGTCTAAACCATAAACACTGTGTACTACGAGGCCTACATGACGATATCCTTAGACCCTGCTTGATCTCTTTACAGCCTGACCCTGACCCCAACAATAAGGTTAACCAGGAGAAATGTGACCCAAGTAGGGCTGCCACAAACAATTATTTTTATAATCGATTAATCACCGATTATTTTTTCGATTAGTCGACTAATTGGATCATATGTTAATTGAATATAAAACATACAGCTTATCACGGCAGAATGCAGCTGTTATTATATAACCATGGTTAGATTTTAGTTATATGCTAATTAAAAATAATTGCTGTGGAAGGCAAGTTCTGCTCTGCAGATACTGCACAGTTTTCTCTTTCATTTTCTTAAAATGATCCCACACTTTTGAGCTCTGTTGCCGAGTAGCCATGATACCAGAGCCTGTCTGTATAATGTCTTGTGACGTCCACGGCCTACCCCAGTTACCACTACTGTGCATGTGTGTCAAGGACAGAAAGGCAGAYGTGGCAGTGGAAGGTGTCAAGCAGTTTGGAGAGAAAAAGACAAAGTAAAGAACAAAAAAATAAGAAAACGATTAATCAATTATTAGTCATCGATTATTTTAATAATCGATTAGTCGTCGATTAATCAATTAATCATGGCAGCCCTAGACCCAAGTAGGGTTCTCCAGAAAAAGTGGTGCCGTACAGTAACGCCCCTTTTGTTCTTGTCCAGTCAGGTGTGTCCCTTCAAAAAAGTCCGTCAAATCAGGTGTGTCACTTCAGAATCGCCTTTCATTGTGACAAGCCCACTTGTCCTCTCTCGTCTGCAGAGACCCCTACTTGAGCAGAGTGGGTCAGTAGGAGCAGGAGTCCTCCTGAGTGAGTACTGTAAACC